AGGACTTGGGCCATCTTCTACTGCTCTCCCAGGCCATAGCAGAGAGCTGGATCAGAAGAGCAGCAGCCAGGACTAGAATCGGCGCCCATGTAGGATGCCGGCGCTTCAGGCCAGGGCTTTAACCCTCTGTGCCACAGTGCCGACTCCTCTCTCACATTATTTTGAAGGAAATCTAGACATCAAGTTCATCAGTGTTTTAGTATTTTAAAGATAATTTAAAAATGCATATATCACTGTCATGACAAAATACTTACATATCGAAATTACAGTGTTCATATTTCTAGTTGTTTCATCTGTGTCATGAACATATTTTAATTGTATGATGAAGAAGGGAACCCTATTGGTTTTTTCCTTTCCAGGTGTGGGGAAAGTCTGGCCTGTGAGCCATAAAAGCTTGCAAAATCATTTCATCTGGCCTTTTCAAGACAATTGCAAGTGGGACTCAAAAGTTCAACAAATCTGTAGCAGGCTTGATTTTTTTTTTTTTTTAAGATTTATTTATTTATTTTAAAGGCAGAGTTACAGAGATCTGCTTTTCACTCCCCAAATGGCTGCAACAGCTGGAGTTGGGCCATTTGGAAGCTAGGAGCAAGGAGCTTCTCTCAGGTCTCCCACATGAGTTCAGGGTGGTACTTGAGCCATCTTCCTCTGCTTTCCCAGGTGCATTAACAGGGAGTTGGATCTGAAGTAGAGCAGCCAGGATTCGAACTGGTGCCACAGGTGGCGGCTTTATCCCCTACACAACAGTGCCGGCCCCAACAGGCTCATTTTTGAGTTGATGATTTTGTATGGCCCACAAATGATGTTACAGATATCCAAAGGCCTCTGGCAAAAAGAAGGTTCACCATCCTTGCTTTATTTTTTTTTTAAAGATTTATTTATTTATTTGAAATGCAGAGTTACACAGAGAAGGAGAGGTGGTGAGAGAGAGCTTCCATTTGCTGGTTCACTCCCCTGTTGACTGCAATGGCAAGAGCTGGGCTGATCCAAAGCCAGGTGCCAGGAGCTTCTTTTGGTCTTGGGCCATCTTCTACTGCTTTCACGGGCCATAGCAGAGAGTTGGATCGGAAGTGGAGCAGCTGAACTCGAACCCATGCCCATATGGGATGCCAGCACTGCAGGTGGCAGCTTTACCTACTACATCACAGTGCCAGGCCCATCCACCCCTGCTTTAAACCATTTGAAAATGGGCCAGCCCTAAACATCAGAAGGTGATACTCAACTTTTAAGTCTAACGTCTGTTCTCAAAATGCAGCACAGTTAGGGCGGTTCTGTTAGTGACAACTTTTGTAAGAAGTTATTGCTGTCTTGGTGAGATGTGAGTTTAGTGATTTCTGAGATCTCTTCATTAGGCCAGCGAAAATAATGCTGCAGAAAGTTAATCGCTTTTTATATTTTTGTTAAAGATTTATTTATTTGTTTGAAAGTGTTAGAAGTGGAGACAGAGCTCTTCCCTCTGCTGGTTCACTCCCCAGATGGCTACAGTGGCCAGGAGCCTGGAGCTTCTTCCAGGTCTCCTATGTGAGTAGCAAGGACCCAAGGGCTTGGGCCATCTGCCACTGTTTTCCCCAGGACATTTGGGAGCTGGATCGGAAGTGGAGCATCTGAGACATGAATCACTGCCCATATGGGATGCTGGCATTGCAGGTATTGTCTTTACCCACTTTGCCATAACACCAGCCCTGCAGAAGTGAATTGAGTTTGTGAGTTGGGTTGTCTGCCCGTAAAGCAACTGATAGCTTTGCTGGTGTGTCTCTGTTACTATTGCTTGGTCCTGAGAATTGGGAGGGGACTATTGAGGGCAAGCCTTCATCCCCGCAGTTCCCTTTTTTTGAGACAAACTTGTCCTGCATCCTGAGATAACTCCTACTTGCCTGCCAAGACTTTATAAATGCTGATGTCATGGTGGTCTGTTTTCTTGTAATGTTCTCCAGAAGCCAAGCAACTTATGGAAAAGGCTGGTTCTTTATAGATCATCTCGTTAGTGACAGAGAGTCATTCTGTGCTTGTATAATGCTCCCGTCACCATGATTGGTCACCGTTGTGTCCACCATGCATTGTGGCTCGTTTCTTTCTTCCTTGGAGATAGCCAGTCACTATGAGCAGCTGGGCTGTTTGCTGGGAGTGTCAGTGTAAGGCGAGAACTTGATGGCTTTCATGCTACCTTTTATTTATAATTTAAGAAAATGGTTTACAACTTGTTGTATGATTGGCATAGAAGAGAGTGCACACACATTCATTGCTTCAGCTTCATGGATTTGAGCATAATTTACCCATGAAACCATCCTTCCCTCTTTTATTCTTTTCAAAGACTAGGAGGTAAGCAGAGAAAGGGACTCTGAACTTTCCATATTTAAACTTGGGTTCCAAATCATAACTGAAAACCTGTGTATTCTGCTCTTCCTTAGCTAAGCACCAGAATTAAAAGTTGGTATAATAAATTGGTGCTACTTAACATTTACATAGCAGTTGATAAATTTTTTTAAAGTAATATAGGGAGACCTGGGAGGGTCTTGTCTCTCTTCTGATTGAGTTTATTACCTGATTTGGTGAGCAGGTGTAGGCTCTGGCTGCAGATGTATCTAGGTCTGAGGTCCCTGTTTTGTGGCTTAGGAGTGGCTGCCTGTTGGGCATACAGGAGGATCTCAGCCTTGGCATCTCCTGCTGTAAGACTGCAAAGGGCCATGTTGAAGAGGACATGGAAAGTATGGTATTTATATCCTGATGATCCTGGGCACACAGGGTCCATGGCAACTCGGATAAGGGAGTCTCAGAGGTGGGACTTGTAGTAAGGCAGAACACTTGAACAGGACTTGTGGGGAGCAACTCGGACTAGACTAAGTTACTGGAATTAAGACTTATTCTATGCATCTGCTCTCCCACAATATGGCGCTGGGAGAGGAGTAAACAGCTTCTACGCAGCTGCCTCTCGCCAACTTGAGTGATGACCTGCAGGAGCTGATCCTGCTCCTGATTGGAGGAGAGCAGTGTACTCGGCGTGTGGGTAGCAGAGCTGGGATTGGTGGAAGAGGACTATAAAGGAGGAGAGAGACAACATGCACCAAGAACACCTGAGGAACATCTGAGCAGCCCCTGAGAGAGCCGGCCAGCAGTGTGCTGCTCCCCTGCGGAAGTGGGGAAAGTGGCAGGGGGAACCGCCCTTCCACGGAGGTGGAAGGACGGCAGCCAACCCGGGAAGAACCAGCAGCAAACCCGGGGAGGGCCGAGCAGACAAAAGAACAGCGCAGGGTCCTGTGTCGTTCCTCCACGAAGAGGGGGAGCGACAGGACTGACTTGGCCCTTGGAGGAAGGGGAAGTTTCTTTGTTGCGGTTAAAAAAGCATGGGAGCAGCAGGGGCACTTAAAACTGGTGAATTTTGGCCGTCGCCGCGGCTCACAAGGCTAATCCTCTGCCTTGCGGCGCCAGCACACCGGGTTCTAGTCCCGGTTGGGGCGCCAGATTCTGTCCCGGTTGCCCCTCTTCCAGGCCAGCTCTCTGCTGTGACCAGGGAGTGCAGTGGAGGATGGCCCAAGTGCTTGGGCCCTGCACCCCATGGGAGACCAGGATAAGTACCTGGCTCCTGCCATAGGATCAGCACGGTGTGCAGGCTGTAGCATGCCGGCCGCGGCGGCCATTGGAGGGTGAACCAACGGCAAAGGAAGACCTTTATCTGTCTCTCTATCTCACTGTCCACTCTGCCTGTCAAAAATAAAAATAAAAAAAAACTGGTGAATTTTCTGGGAATCATTTATTTTCTGTTACGGCTACCCCCATGGTTTCTCTGATCATATGCTGGTGGCTTTTTGGTCATTTCCTGTTTTCAGTCAGTATGAATAAAGCTGCTCCGAGCCCCTCTCCTATCCTGCCCAGGGAACAAATCCTGATTCTCTGTTGGGCAGGGCCAGCAGGGGGAGGCAGCACCAAGCTGTTCACTTGGCAGGCTCTTGGCCACTCTTGTACTGCCAGCCCTTCATCAGCTTTGGAAACAAGTTGCTGACTGGTTTCCAGGCCTGGAGAGGGGCTGCTTCTCTGCTTTCCTGGCTGCTGCCTGGGAGTGCAGCTTTCTCAAGCTGGCTAAATCCTTATCCAATAAAGCTCTTTAGGTTTCAGAATGCTGTCTTTTACATTCTTGTTCTATGTGTGGCTTTTTATCTTTTTATTTCTTAATCTGCTAATTGTCATTGTCATGTTATTTGGGTGAGGACAAAAGCAGGTGGGTGTGTTGACCCTACTTCCTGGACCCAGAAGTCTTTTTAACCCAGTGGTGTTTAACAAGATTCTCCTTTTGTTTTTGCTGTAATAAATGACGCAGTGATAAATGTATTTGTAGTTGTGTCTTCGTGTATATACATATATCCACATTTTTAAAAACTATTTATTTATTTATTTGAAAGGCAGAGAGAGAATCTGTTTCATCCGGTGGTTCACTCACCAAATGGCCTCAACAATTGGAGCTGGGCCAGGCCAAAGCCAGGAGCCAGGAGCTTCTTCCTAGTCTCCCACATGGATGTAGGGGCCTAGGGACTTGGGCCATCTTCTGTTGCTTTCTCAGGCAGGCCATAGCAGGGAGCAGGATTGAAAGCGGAGCAGTGGGGACTTGAACTAGCGCTCATATGGGATTCCAGTGCTACAGGCCATGGATTAACCTGCTGTGCCACAGCGTCAGCCCCCCATACTTATTTCATTAAGCCATATTTCTAGAAGTTAATTCTGGAGCTATAGGACATGCGTAATTTTAATGCCAAATCGAGCCATGGGAAGGTGAAGCTAATTGATAGTCCAACAGGAAGGTATTTATTTCCTGTTTGGTGTGAGCAGATAACTTGGTAGAGCTTTGTCCTTCTCCCCAGAAAACCCCCTCCACCACAAATCCTTGCCCACCAAGCCTAAGCTGTGGAGTCAAACTTTAATGGAGGAGGAGGCTCTTTTGCTGCACACTGTTCTTCTCCCATGCCCGACATGGACCTCAGTGGACTCAGGCCGTTGCTTCTTTGTTCCAGGTTACACTCCCGGCACACCTTACAAAGTGTCCTGTTCCCCTACCAGTGGGGCTGTGCCACCGTACTCTTCCTCCCCCAACCCCTACCAGACGGCTGTGTACCCCGTGCGAAGTGCCTACCCCCAGCAAAGCCCGTATGCACAGGTATGCTTGGGTGTGCCCTGCAGTGTGGGAAGGGTTGGTTCCATGGGGTTCTCATCCCCCAGCCATGGGACCCTATGGCAGTTGTCTCTCTTCTTCCCACAGCAAGGCACGTACTACACACAGCCACTGTATGCAGCACCCCCTCACGTCATCCACCACACCACGGTGGTGCAGCCCAACGGCATGCCGGCCACAGTGTACCCTGCTCCCATCCCTCCTCCTAGAGGCAATGGGGTCACCATGGGCATGGTGGCTGGGACCACAATGGCCATGTCAGCAGGTAAGTTCTCATTCCTGGGGTGTTTGTTCTACAGTGACGTGAGAACCATGGGTGGGGAGAGCTGTCAGAAATTCAGACCCTTGGCTGTGGACTTTCGTGGCCACAGTAGTGTGGGAGGACGTCTGATTCTTTGAGGGGAGGAGCAGCAAGTTCCCTTTCATATTATCTCCCTTCCCATTCTTCCCTCTCCTTTTAGCTGAGAGGAGACTGACTGTGGGGTGCAAAGTAACGAACGATGAACCGAATGGTTTACTTTCCTGCATGGCGCATGACTGAATGGCGTTCTCTGGTTGTGATGGGTTCACTCTGTAGGATGGCTCTAGGAACGAGTGACCAGACACCCCCTGTCAACCTCATGAGCATGGAGAGCTTGAGCAAAAGGGAGATTTTGTGTCCCAGGTGGGCTGGCACTCTTGATAACTTCATTGAAGGTGGGCTGTCTTCACAGGCCAGGTTGTGTTAATGGGGAATGTTTCCAGGAATCTAGGAAAGCTGCTATGTGTTAATAGAAGTGACAGCTTATAGGAGTCCTCTGCAGTTCTTCTGCTTTACTTCTCAACATGTCCTCTGAGTCAGGAAAACTTAACCAACATCCTTGGCCAGGTGGTCGTGTCTCAGTGGAACCTGGGAGCCCTGGAGCCTTAAAGGCTCTGATCTTAACACAGGGGTGGGGGAACCTTGTTTCTACCCAGGGCTATGTGCATATTTACAACATCATACAAAATTCTCAGCTTAAATGTTAACCTGCTATAGATTTACCGAATTTCACATCGCACCTGTGGTTGCCTTGGCAGGGCCACACCAGATGATTTCATGGGCCGGACATTGCCCACCCTGATCTAACATTTAGAAGTTAGGTTGCCTGCTGGCCTTTGGATAAATGTCACAGCTTCAGGCAATACTCACATCACGTGTATCTGGTTGCTCATAACTGACACTTGTGTACCTTCTTATTTGTTTTTCTGAACTTTACTTCAGTAGAAGGAAGTCATGCCAGGGAGAAAGGTATCCCAGGATACTGTGTTTCTGCTCAGAATCTGTCTTGTGTAGGTTTTCCCATTTGGACCTGTGAAGGCCAAGGAGCCCGTGGCATAGACAGATGCTGTGTGTTTGAGACCAGAGCGGGAGGGCCATAGCCCCAGGGTGGGTGTGGGCAGCAGGGGTGAAGGCCGCTGTGTTGCAATTGCTGCTTGTCCACACACAGGCTCCGTTGCTAAGTTTCTGTGAGTATGGGAAAAATGTGTTTTTTGAATGTATTCAGAAGCTTGTGCAGTTTGGAATCCCTGGTTCTCATTTTTTATTTATGTTTTACAGTCTTACCCGTTTTTAGGTGTACAGTTCAGTAGTGTTAAGTATTTCACATTGTGACCCAAATCTCCAGAACTTCTTCATCCTGCAAATCTGAAACTCCTGTAACCAATAAACAACAGTTCCCCTCCCCCTTCCCACCACCCCTCTGTGCTCTGTGCACCCTCTATGCTCTTTTGGGTCCTCTTATCAGTGGAGTCGTACGCTAGTTGTCCTTTTGTCACTGGCATATTTCACTTAGCATAATGTCTTTAAAGGTTTGTCCATGTTGTAGCATGTATCACCGTTTCCTTCTTTTTTAAGGCTGAATAATACTTTTAAAATTTCATAGTTTGACTCACAGAAGTTATTAAGGGTTCCCCCTGAGTGGGAAGCACCCAAGCTTTTACGACCACGTGGTCAGTAGGAGTCAACTGTGTGTATACAGGATTGTGTGCTCTGAGCTCTCACTGCACTGAGTCGAGGCCATCCCTCCTCCTGCAGGCCTCCTTCCGTGCAGAGAGGCCCAGGCCTGCTTGCTCGTGTCAGAGGCATGTGGTGCTGTGTGTAGAAATGGGCCTGTGCGGTGTGTGACAAGCTGCTCTCTCTTGCAGGTACCTTGCTGACTGCTCATTCCCCAACTCCCGTCGCTCCCCACCCAGTCACTGTACCCACGTACCGGGCCCCAGGAACACCTACCTACAGCTACGTGCCCCCTCAGTGGTGATCACCCTGCAAACGTAAGTGACCAGTGACGACTGGCTGGGCCCCTGATAAGAGTGCACTTCCCAGAGGAGAAGGACAAACCTGCTCTGTAGTTAAGCACAGTAAGACAGATACACTTGACCCCATGAACCCAGAGCAGGGCACTGTTGAAATTTTTATTCGTATTGAAACTCTAAAAAGTAGAAGAAAGAAGGAAACCATTGAGTGTTTGCTGTTGACCCTATGTATATTGATCCTTACCTGGAATATGGTCCCAGTCCCCCACCTGCCTGTTCTAGGAACCTGGGTTCCTACTGTTACTGGGGTCTTTATGATGTGGGCAGGAACTAGGGCCAGCAGCCTTGCTTGTTGGTGCCCTTCCAGGTGCTTGTGGCTCTGGTCTTCACTGAGTTGTTGGGGCCAAAGTGCTAGGAGAGTTCTGTGTGACTCTGTTTCTTCCCCCAGGTTTGAGGATGGAGCTGTGCAGTCACATCATTGGGGTTCCACAGCTGGTGCTGCAGGCCTTGCGCCTCCAACCAGGACTTTCTTCTTAATGCTCTCGACATTTAGCTAAACTCGACTACGTCCCGGCCCAGCAGGTCCCAGCGCCGTTAGTCTCCAACTAACTCTGTGGGTTGGTCTTAAAGCAAATCCTGTTTTGTGGACTGCCTGGCAATTTTTTAGCTAACTGTAATGATAAAAAGGGAGTATTAATCTATTCTGAATCATATCTAGTTGAATGCATGTTTAAACAAACACACACAAAAACAAAGCTTGCTCAATCTACCTGCAGTGACTGATGCAAAACCATCATATGCAAAATCCAAAGGAATGGAAACGTATTTTACAACTTGTATCACTAATGCACTGTTGTAACGTATGCAGAGTCTTAAAGTTTTAAGTGTTCAAGTGAATTTCTTCATAGAGCATCTGAAATACCTTAGATGATTCTTCAACCTTTTGGGGTTGATGCGGGCTGCCAGTTAGGGGCGTGGACTTTTAGTTTTCAGCAACTGTTTGGCACTGGCTGTACTTGTGGGAAGGGGTTGCAGGGAGAGGGAAAGAGAAGGGAGGCCGCAGTTGATTGGGTGCAGCCAGTTTTGGGGCATCCCTTTCTTTCCATCTGGGCTTGGTGCAGTCAGTGGGACAGGGACATGCTTCAGATAGGCGTGAAAGAGTAGAGCGATGTGGCCAGTACAGTTAGGGGTGAGGGGGTGGTTTATGTATCAGCAAAACAATTTCCTCTGCTATCTAAATTTTCATTACAGGTCTCTTAGAGAGAAGGATGGTGTTTTCTATATCTGTATTGGAAAAGTCCTGAGTAGAACTAATTTTCCTGGGATGGAAGATAGGTGGAAGAGAAACAGCCAGGCTTGGAGGGGGTATTGTTCTCTGCTTTATTTAGCATAGAAAATCATTCCATTTTTTTTTTTTTCTGAGAAGTGTTTGAGTCAACTGAAAATAACATAGACATTGCTGTTTTTTCCCCACAAAGAAGGGCAAAGATTTCAGCTGTCTGTAATGAAGAAAGTTGTATATTTAAGAATGATTAAAAGGGAACAAAACTTTATTTTAAATTCCTCATGTTTCTTTCTTGTAGAGAGGCAGGGCCGTGGCTGTGTCTGGAAATGTTGAAACCTGTAGCTTCTTCTGAGATGGGCCGCCCGATGGTCACTTGTCCTTAGACTGGCTGGAGAGGGCGCCTGGCGATGGGGCAAGGGAGATGGGAGGGCTGGTGTCTGTCTGTGAGCCTCTTCCACTGTCTGTCTGTACAGCTGAAGGCACTCAGTGCAAGGCAAGTATGGACAGCAGAAAGGGCCAGGCATTGCCAGATGCTTTTCCCTGCTGGCTTGTATTATGGCAAGGGTTTTGAGCTTAAGGTCTGAATATTGTACATAAGGACTGAAGAGGGTTTTTTTGTTTTGTTTTGTTTTGTTTTGTTTTGTTTTGTTTTGTTTTTGGCCTGAATATGCCCAGTTGGTATGGATAGGAGTGGGTATTTGTTCTCAGTTAAGGGTCGGGGGTAGGGAATGTGAGGACTTGTTTCCTTTAAAGGGTCTGTCAGGTGGGGTGTACATCCTTTCCCGACCCTCTTGTTGTGAGTGCTGGGCCTCAGGTGGGTGTGGGTTTTGTGCTTCTGTGTCTGGCAGCCAGGTTGGGCTCTGATGCAGGGGTCGAGGTCCCCCGCTAGCATTCAGCCCTTTGGGTGGGTGGGATGCTGACCACTGAGCCTTCAGTAACCTTATTTTTTATAGTAAGTACTCTTCATAATTTTCTTTTCCACATTTTGTTTTATAAGGAGTTTAGGAATATTTTTGCATGGATCATTGTAAACAGAAGATTGCTTATTTCTAATGTCTGTTAACATAGAATGTTTACTGATGAGTACTTTAAAATTGTTTCATGAGCACTTAACCCGTGTGTGTGTGTGCGTGTGAGAGTGTGTGCGTGTATATGTGTATGTGTGGAAGACGTTTACCCCATGCACAGTTTGTCCATTTCTTTGAGTCTATGTTGGTGATTCCGTCTGTATAGTGGATGGTTTGCAATATCCATAGATTCTAAGGGTTCCAAGGCTCAACTGACTAACAGTTTTCCCAGTTGAGTAACAGTAGACAGGAGAAAATATTTACAGTCTTAGTGTATGCTTTTAAAAAGCCCCACACAACAACCATGGAAGCTCATGCACACGTACACTCAACTACCTGTTGGACGTTGGTGTGAGAAGTTACAGGAGGTCACTTGGGCCGTATCTTGAGACTTGCTGAGATTCGGCTTACCCAGGGTGAGTGTGTCCACCAGCACTGATTAAAAGGGCCGTTTCAAGGAAGAGCAGAGTAGATTGTACCACCCTCCTCCCACCCCCATTTAAATTGGCTTCATAAATATTTTCTACCTATAATGCTTTTTCCCCTCTTGTGAAATAGAATCGGGACAGTATCAGTTTTGCGTTACACAGTATATACATGGAAACCTTGAACCAGAGTCAGCTAATCAAATATGATGGTGTAAGGTGGGTCCTGTATTATCAAGGGAGAATCTGGACTTCAGAGCAGTACCAAACTGCCACAGTTTGTAGTTTCATTAGTGTTGAGTCCCAGTAAGATTTATTAAGGAATACAACCTCAGTCAAAATCCCGTTATATAGCTGTATCATTTTGCATTCCAAGCATACTATAGGAACTTTTGCTTTTGTGTGACATCCCTAATTTGAGACTTTCAGAAGCTGAGACAGGCAGGCAAAGGCCCTAGTTGCCGAGAACATGAACACCTCTATGACTGAACAGAGCTTATTCTCTCTCTCCTGAGGCCCAGGAGGTGTGTTCCTTGTCTGCGGAGCTGCTGCTCCTCAGTGCTTCTAGAGAGCCTGTTTGGAACCAGGCTGGAAGCCAAGCGGTCAGTGTGTAGCAGCTGGCCCCTGGAGGTTGCTGCCTATGAGATTCAAGGCCACTGCAGGACCAGGGCCAGCTTTGGTGACAGACACAGAAGTACTGCCAGACTCTTTCTTGTCTCTTACGAGTGTGATTATTGGGCCTGCTAGTTGCTCTCTGTGAAACTGTGCTATGCAAATGTGGTATTTACAGGAGCCTGCAGGTCCCTTCCCCAGCTGGGCACCCAGTGCCTTGCTCCATCTGGCTGCGATGAAGGTCTGGGAAGTCATGTGCATGTGTCTCTTGAGGGATGTGTCCACAAGAAGAGGAGAGCAGTTTGGAATGCCCTCATGTGGGGCAGTGTGTTGTGCCCACATCAGATGTTGTGTGAGTGTGCCCAGGAGCTGGTGGTGAAAGGCTGGCACATACTGGCTGTGCCAATATCGGGGCTGCTTTACAAAGGGAGTTCAGGCTTCTCACTGGTCTTTGTTGAACGTGTGAACACAGTGTTACTATGAACAGTTGGGCCATCTTCTCCTTGCCCCGCAGCTGATAGATGGCCGTTATTGCCAGCCGGCACTGCCCAGACGGAACAGGAACTCCAGGGCGTGCACTGGCCGGTGGGCAGCAGTGTCTGGTCCTTCTCTCTGGTGCTTCCTGAGGGTTCTGTAAAGAGCAGTGTGGTTGGCCTGGGAGGGGAGGGTGGAGCTTGGCTGTCCTCTAGCCCGTCTTCTGCTGGTGTGTGTTTTCTCTGAGCCGCTTATTTACCCCCGCCTGAGCTGTCTGAAGGGTGCAGGTTTTCCAGTGCACTGCAGCTGAGGTGGGGGTGTGATCATTTCCAGTAGAAAATGGGAAGTTGATCTCGCATGTGTCAGAGGGTTTGTCTCTGTTCCCCACTCCCCACTCATCTGAAGAACAGACACCCTGAGAGGATAACTGTACTTTGGTCCACAGGATAAATACAGTTCAGTCATTTGCGCCAGGGAGACAGAGGCCTGTCCTGCCCAGGCTTCGTGACAGGCCATTCCTCCCCCAGCAGGGCTGCCCCTGGTGCCTCATGCATAGGAGTAGGCTCCAGGACAGAGGAGTTGGGCCAGCCGATTAGTGTTCCTAGAAGTTGACTTGATGGCCACTGGGACGAAGGCCCCAAGGAGCCCTGTGGGGGTGTGACTGAATAGGAGTGGTTCCTTTTCTTTTTCTTTTTTTTAAATGACTTTTAAATACTGTTTTTTACACCGTTCTCTTGGTACTTTTTTTAAAGCTTCAGTCAGCATTGTCTTCCAGTGTTAAAGGCATCCCTCGCCTCTGCATTGAACTCCATGTCAGTACAAAGGAGTGGAACACCCATCCTGAGCCAGTTCCATTAGGTATAAAGTCAGACTCTTTTAATTTTTTATGCAATCTGATGAGTAGATGAGCTCAGATTTAAAATTCTTAAAAGCACGTTTATTGTAACAAGAATTGTTATGTATTAATACTGCAGTTTTCAATAAAGATTGACTTGTGTTGCATATTCTGGTTGTCCTGATTTTTCTCCATGGGTTTCCACTGACTGGGAGGTGGTGTAGCTTCTTTCAAGTTAGGAAGTTGCCAGGGATTGCCAGTGCTGGAGTGTGGCAGAGGAAGCAGCCTCAGGCTCCTCTTCTGGGCCTGTGGCTAGGGACCTCCTGGGAATAGAGATTCTTCCCTGTTTCCCTGAAGAGGATACTCAGGCTCGGAAGTACTGATGGTGTCCCCCAAACTTATATTTCCCATCCAGCTAAACACCTAAGGAGCAGACAGGGATGAAGCAGACTTGTAGGCCCAGGGCAGCTGTGTCCATCTGGATGGCACCTGACCCCACTCCTTGGTCTTCCATGGCCCATCCTCCCAGCTCCCCTGGCCCTCTCATCGTGAGCCCAGCACCTGATCCAGCCTCCGCCAGGGCCCTGAGAGGCTCACCCCACCTCTGGGAGCTGCTGCCTCCTTCCTCCTCTCAGGGAAAGGCCTGGGGGTAGAGATGGGGTGACCGGCGCAGGAAGGCTGGGTGTGTGGAAGGGAAAGCACACAGACACTGACAGAAGACAACGGCTGGCAGCCAGGTGACTTTTCACAAGTTTCTTTATGAAAGTAAATGTGGTTTCTGGCTTGGAGAAAGAATAGTGCAAGAGTGACTGTCCATGCTGCTGAGTCCTGTGGGCTCCACTCCAGCACTCCAGGCCCGAGCTGCACCTCCTGCGCAGCAAGATACACGCGCCTGGGGGTCAGTCCTGGATGCTGGGCCACAGAATTCAGTTCTTATGGCTTCTCACGCTCACTAGGGTAAGGCAATCTTTCTGTGTCACTAACGACAATGATTTTTTTCTCCATTGTTAGAAAAACAAGACGACAAAATCCAAACAAGAAACAGGGCCCAGGTGGATCTGGAGCTAGCCCACAGCTACAGGTTGACCAGTCACAGACCTGGGCCAAAGGACACAGCTGACTGTATGGTTTTGTTCTTCCCACTACAGACGCACACATCACAAGTGAAGAGGGTGTCCAGCAGCCAGCGGTGCCTAAGGGGCTGGGAGGCCAAAGGGTGGCTCTGGGCTGGACATCTGGGCACAGAGTTCTTGGTTCCCGCCCTCTGAGGATGCAAGCTGCCTCTCGGGGATGGGGGCCCAAAACGAGAGTGGCACCAGGCCCAGCTTTGCAGGGAGCCAGAGGCCAGTGTTGATCTCTGCGGCCCAGAAGTGGCAAGAGGAGGGGATGATCAGACTTCCAAAGGAGGTCCAAAGCAGCCAGAACCTTCTGCGCGCTGGCCTGAGTGGTGGTTCTGAGCTCTGGTTCCAGGCTCTGGGGCGGTGGAGGATGGCAGGCGGGGGAGCCCAGGCTGCAGGAGGAGATTGCACGTGCGAGGGCCTGTGTCTTCCCCGCTGGTCTCTGTGCCAGGACAGTAGCACAGACCTGGTGCATCCTGGTGACTCCCTCACTCAGCCCTGCAGTTTGCACAATAGGCAGAGGGCCAGATGGAGTGGGCCTTGAAGAGGAAAAGCCGGGAGCCATGGATGAGCAGGTCCACAAAGTTCTGCCGGGTGAGCGCTGGTCACTTGCGGAAGGGAGCCAGCCGGCTAATGCTGTGCCAGAAGGTGGATGGCTTCCGCCTGGGCTCTGCCAGCACCAAGACCTGCTGCTGGGCCCGGCTGGCAGGCAGTGCCGGGTGTTTCTGGCGCATCAGGTAGCCAGGCCGTCCAATAGCTGGGCAAGGAGAGATGGGGGTGGGGTCAGCGTGGAGCAGCAGCCTCTGCTGTTGGAGGTGCAAGGATTCATCCCGAGATAACTGCCTCAGACCTCCCCCCTGCTCAGGGGAAGAGTTTTGCTACACAGGACTTGCTTTCCAAGGGGCTGATCACACGCAGAAGCCTGGGCTGTCCTGCAGCCTCTTGAATGATCTGGCCTGCAGTTGGGAGAGAGGGTGGCGTGGCCAGGGAACCTGTCCAGAGCATGGTGGCTCTGTCAGCAGCCCTGGGCGGGGGTGGGGTCACAGGGGCCCAGAGCAAGAGCATCCACTGTATACCAGTCCAAGCTTCATCCCTGGTAGCCCATTGTCACTGACCTTTGGGAACAAACACCTGCAAAGGGCAGTGGCACCTCCGAGGCCCTGGGTGGCCTATGGGTATCTGGGGAGCTGGGACTACCAACCACCTACCTTTGGGCTTCCCTGTGGCCTGCTGCTTGCTAGCATTCAGCATGGCCTGCTTCCTCTGCAGCTCAGTGATGGAGAAGCCTGGGGAGGGGGGCACACAAATGAGACCCCTGCCCTGTCCACATTGCTCCTTGTGCTGTGTTTCTTGGTTTCAGGTGCAGTCTGCTGTGCACACCTGCACTTCCCACAGTGCCCGGGTTCCATTATGCCACAGGGGCTGTGTCCTGGCTATCTGGTGCCAGGCTCGCAGCAGGGACTGTTCCCCATCCTGCTCGCTCAGCCTGCCTTGGCGAACCCGGGCAGGGGAGATGCTGGGGGAGGGGTGGGGTGGGTCCATGACAGAGAACAAAGGTCCGGAGTCCTCCCTCTGCCTCCATCTCACCCCAACCTAATGTTCCTCCTCTGCTTGCCCAAAGCCTGGTATGGTTTCTTTCCATGGTGGGGGGTCCTCCCCCAGACCAAGAACTGACCTGGTCCCTGTGGAGAGTAATGCTGGGGCCCAGAACAGGAAAGGAGGAGTGGGGGAGATGCTCACGGAGAGGGCGGAGGCGGCTTCTGGGGGCCAGTACCCACTTCCCCACTCCATGTTCTCCTAAGGCTTGTGTTGACTGCAGAGGGGCTTCCCCGGGTCCCAGCAATCAGAACACTTTGCGTGGAGGGTGTGTGCATGCTTGTGTCTGGAGTGAAGCCCACTGCACCCAAATCCAGCGGAGCCATGGCCTGGGGCTGAGTGCCGAGGAAGGGCCACTCCTGCCTGGGGCATGGTGAAGGCAGGGCCTGTGCTCACCACTGGGACCAAGCCTGGGTTCACAGTGTGAAGCCCTGGGGCTGCGCCGTGCTGCTTCACGGTTTCTAGGCAGTTCTGGCCAGCTGGCAGGGGCAAGACGGGTGAGTGAGCCCTAGATGCGGGGCAAGGGTCAGCAGGGTCTCGCACCTGTCTCATGGTCCAGCCGCACCTGCTCCCTCTCTCTAGCAAAGGCCTTGAGCCAGCGCTGCTTCTGCTCAGGCTTCCTGGCACATAGTAGGTGGCTGTCCCCTGAGGTGCCACAGTGCAGCCGAAAGGCGTTCTTGATGCTCACGTGGAGGTCTCGGTCCTTCCCATCGTCCAGGTCTACCACCTCCAGGCTGTCCATGTCCAGCCGGCCCTTGTAGTATAGCACGTCCCGGCGCAGCAGGTCCTGCCAGATGGCACCTTGAGCCCTGGCCACCGCACCACTCCCCTGCCATATCCCAGGCCCGTCCCTGCCCGCTCTGCTCGGCCGCCCACTCCACCTGCAGGCGATGAGCTCCCGAGGACAGAGTGGGCCTGCTGCGACCCACAGCTGTGCTGAGCCCTGAGTGGAGCAGCCTCCCTCCTTTGCAGCACACCTGCCGGCTGGCAGGAAGGTGGCCCACACCCCACAGCTGGAGGAGCGCCAGTGCACAAGGAGGGCTCTGTGCACAGAGGAGGCTGGGGCATAGCCACAAAACAGGGCCCCAGGCTTGAGGTGTGCAGCAAGACAAGAGGTGGCTTGAGCACAGAAGGCAGTGCTCTCAGCAGCACTGGGCCCCAGTCCCTAGGCTACCAGGGTCACCTGCAGAGCTCCGCCCCCAGGCCAGCCCAAAGGGCCTGCCTGCGGCTCCCAGGAAGGAGGAACTGCCCGTGCAGGAACGGGCAGGTGCCTTTCCTCTGGGTGGCTGCTCTCAGTCTCTGCTTCACCCCCTCCACCTGCTCCCTGCGGGGCCCATCCAGTCAGAGGGACCCTGGTACCTTCTTACAGTAGATGAGCTGGTGGTCAAAGAGAAAAAACATCCTCTGCTGGCTCTTGGCTTGAGGCTGCGTGACGCGAGTCAGCTCCCCTGAATAGATGAGTTCCGAGCTCCTGACCAAGAGATCTTCCCCCTGGGGGGTGCCAAGGACAGCTGTGAGCTTATTAGTGCACTTCCTGTCTCCTCACCAGGCCATGATGGGAGGGGTGCTCTTAAAGCCAAGGAAAGGACCCCCGGGGGCTGTGGGAGGGTCAGGGAGTGAGGGACAGGTGAGCAGGCAGCCCCTAAGCGCGGGACCGTGGCTAGTCCTTACGAAGTATGAAGTCAAGAAGAGAAAACATATCACAAAGGCTATGTTGATTAGAAGGTGAGATGATACTCTGCATATACTGCATGAAATAAGACATTACAAAAACTTGTCACCTTTTCATGTTTTCCCTAAGGCGGCTGCTGCAGAGCATAAATTCAGAGGTGACGCGTATTTCAGGGCTGCCCTGGAGGAAGAGTAGGCAGGCCTGGCTGCAGATCACCTCTGCAAACAGTATTTTTAGGAGGCTTTTTAAGCCAGCTCTGTGTATTCAGTACCCAAAATCCTGCCATGTGGGCCTCCGAATTGTCGGAGTAAGCCCCGCCCACTTCCAGGTCCTCCTTAAAGATGTACAGCTCAGCTGGGAGCTGTTGGCGGCTGGCCGTCCGTCTGGGAGGACTGAGGCCATTGGCGGCCTTAGCCAGGCTGGGCCTTCCAACCCATTGCCCACATGGCTCAGCCCCACTGCAGGGATTCTAATGCAGTCCAGCAAGGGTGAGGCAGGCCCGGGATACTGTATTTTCGTGATGTTCTGTGGCTGACTGTGGTCGGGGATTCTGATGGCAGTGGTCCTGTGTGGGTGGGAGTCCATCAAGGAGCCCAGATTGGTGGGAGAGGGTCTGAGAGGCCCCTATGCCTCTGGGGGACAGGAATGGGCATCATGAGATCGGGCCTTGATGTTCCCTTAAAAGGCAGAAGAGTGGCAGATGTGAGAATGTGCAAGCAGAAAAATGGAACCGGGGCTGGCGCTGTGGCGCAGTAGGTTAAAGCCCTGGCCTGAAGTGCCGGCATCCCATATGGGCACCTGCTCTAGTCCCGGCTGCTGCTCTTCCGATCCAGCTCTCTGCTGTGGCCTAGGAAAGTAGTAGAAGATGGCCCAAGTCCTTGGGCACCTGCACCTGTGTGGGAGACCTGGAAGAAGCTCCTGGCTCCGGATCGGCACAGCTCCGGCCATTGCAGCCATCTGGGGAGTGAACCAGCGGATGGAAGACCTCTCTGTCTCTACCTCTCTGTGTAACTCTGTGTTTCAAATAAATAAAATAAATCAAGAAAGAAAGAGAGAGAGAGAGAGGGAGGGAGGGAGGGAAGGAAGAAAAGGAAAAGGAAGGAAGAAAGGAAGGAAGGAAGAAAGGAAGAAAGGAAGGAAGGAAGAAAGAAAGAAAGAAATGGAACCAAGAGGCCGTGATGAGGGCAGTCCACTTTCCACGGCACTGTGTGTGGGACTTGAACCCATCTATTGGGAGTCCCAGGTGTCAGCTAAAACTCTGGGAGCTTATGCATCCCTTGAGGGCAGAGGAAGAGACTGACACTTCTGAGAAACACACTTGCTCTCTTTACGGCTCCTGAGCTGGCTGGGTGCTCATGGGGGAGCCTCAGCCTGCAGGAGGGGTGGCACCACAGCACCTCTGGGAGGCCTGGTTTTCCCACTACGCACTTCTGGCTCCCTGCTTCAGCTTCCAGGGGGCATGAGCAATTTCAAAGCCAGAGGCCATGGACCCCAGGGTGTTTCCTTGACCCTGGGGCCCTCACCTCCCAGTCTTCTATGGAGCTCTGCCACTGAGCAATCTTGTCAATGTTTTCGAGTCTCCGTTTCCGTTCGTTAATGAGCTGGGCCACGTTCTTCATGGCGTGCAAGGCAGCTTCGACATCCTTGAAATCCCTGGGGGCAGAACAGACATGGAAGGGTGCTGCAGGCTGGAGAGCAGAGGAGGTGCAGGAGAGGAGGAGAGGGCGTCTCCTCCAGGGAGCCCGCTACCCTGTACTGCAGCCCCCACGCATGGTGCTGCTGCCTTCTGGGGCCGTGCCCCTGAGCCTTGGCCTCACATGTCAAATGCACAGCCCCTCCTTCTCCATAAAAGCCAGGCACAGAGCCCGGCTTAATATCCTGTTGGCATCCTTGTCCCTGCACTGCATCGAGAGCTCATGAGAACAGAGCTTGCTTTGTTCTGTGCAGAGCAGGGCACTGGCTCAAGTAACTGCCCGGCTGGAGGTGCAAAGGGCCTCAGGCCGCCTACCTGTGCTGGGGGTGTGTGTATTTGAGTAGCTCAGCCAGCTGCAGAGGGTACTTGCAGATCTTCTGCACTGGGGTCAGCAGGAAGCCGTCCAGGGAAATGTCAATCATCTTTTGCAGCAGCCGGCAGGCCTCGAAGAAGTACACGTACTTGCTGAGCTTGGTGAGCCGGGAGAGCTCCACGCAGGCGTTGGGGTGGTTATTGCAATACTCTGAGTAGATCTGGAAGTCAGCTTGCTGGGGAGGTTAGAGGGGGAAGACGCAGCTGGTGGTGATGACAGCCCAATGGCCACTCCCCCTGGCAACTGGACACGGGTCTGGGAGGGCCAAGAGCCTCTGCCTCACCCCCTGCCTCTGTCTACTCTCCTCCCTGGGAATCAGACCCAGGGATGGGAATGCCTCTGAGAAGGCGCACGCTGGCCGCTGTGGCCACCCAGCCTTTTCAGCAGGTACTGTGCGCGTCAGTCACGTGGATGACATCAGTGCTGCTAATCAATCAGGAAGGGCTATCAGGGCCACACAGTGGGGGGAGGGGGTGTTGAGGGAGACAGGCATGCTTTGCTCAACCTCATGACTGCTGCAGGAGGTGAGCTAGGAGTCGTCCTATCTGGACTGGAGCCATCCAAAGCACTTTGGCTAAAGACCAAGTTGCACTGAGAGTGGAAGCAACCGAAGTCCCAGTTTGAGAAGCCCTAGAACCTGCCATGAGCAGCCAGCCCCCTGGGGTGCACACTCCATGAGTAGTTCAGCCCCCTCTTCCCTCCTCTGCTGTCCCAGGGTGATGCCCCAAAGCCCCCAGTCCCCAGGGACCCCTCCCCTGGTGTGGTTTCCCCGTACACAAGCAGGGCCACTCCTAACCCTGGGTTGCAAGGTGAGGGCAGCAGGTGAGGAGCACCTGGGACATTTGGAAGCTTCTGGAAAGACAGCAGCAGGTTGCTCTCTGGAAGTAGGCAGGGACAAGAGCCAGGTGCAAAGGGAGGTGACAATGCTGAGGGACGGGGGTAGGTGGGGAGAGGGCAGTGTCCCCCCCCAAGATGGAGACGGCGCACTCACGTGCTCCAGGAAGCAGGCGCCCAGCTCGCTGAGGTGTGGCCGCTCCCTATTGAACTTCTGCTCCAGAGCCTTCACGAACGCCTTCTGGCACCGGTAGATGTCCTCGATGTTGCCAAAGATGGTGCGAAGCTGCTCCTCGCTGAACATGTCGGCACGCTTGCGGCACTGTCTGATGTAGCCCTGGGGGCGGGGCGCCGTCAGCGCTCCCGCGGCGACCCCCGCCCCGCCCCACCCGCCCGCGGGCCCCCTGCCCTCACCTCGCAGATGTCCCGCAGGTGCTTGATGTAGTCCCGCTCGGTGCTGAGGATCTCATTGATAACGTTGGTCCGCATCTGATCCTTGCTGCTCTGCGCCTCGGCCCCGCCGTCCTCGGCCCCACCGCTCCCAGCCTGCGGGGCCTCGTCGTCCGCAGGCTCGTCCTGGTTCACCCGCAGCTGCCGGTAACCGACCGACCGTCAGCGCCCCGCACCCTTCCCCGCGACAGCGCCCGCTACCCTGTACTGTGGCAGCCAGGAACCCCAGGGGCTCAGGGCTGGCAAGGGGGGCTTCCTATGACCCCATCACCCGTCCAAGGCACGCAGGGGACCGATCTGGAGATCACCCCGGCAGCCTCTTCTTACACCTCCTTGTGCTCAGCACTGCGCATGCCCTAGGAGTTCCTGCGCCAGTGCCCGTTCATACAGGGTCCTCCAGAGAATTGTGCCCCCAGGTGGATGGGTGTCCGCCTTGCTGGGGTGCACCTCTGAACTGGAACTTGGGGCACCAGGGGGACTGTTGGGGGGGGCAGCTATCTGGAGCAGGAGGAGCACCTGAATGCAGGATCTGGGGCCTCTGCTCTGCCCCCAGCAGCAATCCCAGCACAGCTGCGAAGGGAAAGTCCACACCCACCCCCTGGGAGCCCAGTGCTGTTGCAGGCTTTGATTTCTAAGCAGAGCAGGTGGCTGTCTGTGGGAGCCATACCCGCACGAAGCTGGCCGGAAACCAGCCCTCGCCGTCGGCGACACGGCCCCACCACCACTCCCTGTTGGTGGCATCCATCACTTCGATGACGTCCCCAGCTTTGAAGCCCAGTTCCTGGTCGTCCATGGTGACATGGTCCCAGAGCGCTTCGGCACAGACCACACTGCCATCGCTGATGAGCTGTGGAGACAGCCATGGGCGGGTGGGTTGGGGGGCTGGGCTGCTGGGGCTTCACTGGATGTGCAGCCCTGGGAAGAGAGACTCCTGTCTTCAGAGGAGCTGATGGAGGCTCTCTCCTGGCAGGGCCAGGCCCTGGCCATGTCTAGGCTGTCATGGCTCAGTGACCCAATCATGGGATCGGAATGGCCATCTGTGGCATAAATCCCTCCCTGCTCAGCCATGCTGTCCTCACCCCACTAGGGGGCTGGGGACGAGGCTACTGTCTCTCGGCCTCCAGTCGCTCCATCTTCCCCCACTTTCTGTGCTCTGCTGGTGGTACCAGGGCTGTGGCTGTGCCAGCTGCTGTCTGTCAGGCCCTTCTAAAGCAACATTCAAGGAGCGATAAGAGCCTTGCTCTCTCCTCTGAGCTTACTGTGGGCTGGCAGTGCCTGGGAGGCCACCCAGCCTTCAATAATGCCCCTGTACCTTGGCCTGCCAGCGCACCCGTGGATCTGGTTTGCTGTGTGATTTTGAGCCTTTGCAGAACCAGCCTCTTGGCACTCCTGCCCGTGCTCCGCCTCCCCACCAGATACCAGCAGCAGCTGAGCAGCACCCCTGTTGAGAGCTCTGGGTCCCAAGCCCTAGGACTCTAAGCACCAATGAGTGCCGCCTCTTCCGGTTATTGCCTAGCTTTAGAAGTAGGTCCGTCCTGCAGCTGCTCCCTCTGTGACAGGTGCTTCAGGAATGATCTTGGGCACGTTGTCACCAGGTCTAACCATTTCATTCCTAGTTGGCAGCTCTTTCCATTCCCTTCTCCCTGCGAGCTTCCCGTCTCTCAAGTGTCTGTGCACAGATGACACCCGGGATGCATGCTCCCTTGTCCCACCCACGCAACCCTGGCGCTCGGAGCTCCATTGCCAGCAGGGCTCTATCTCCATCCATGAGTGCTGAATGGCTCCAAGGGTGTAGGGCAGAAGAGGAGGGGTGGGCTGGGGAAGTGTGGTCCATGCTTCTCCTTACTGGGCCCACGTGTCAACAAAGGCTCTCACAACCACTGGCCTGGCCAAGGCATCAAGAACGAATTGGAGCACTACCAAACGCCCCTCCACCCAACTGTCCGCCACCCCACAGTGGCCATCCCTAGGCATCACTGGGTGCTCCCGGGGCAGTGCTCCTGCAAGTCCTCCTGTCGTTACAGGGACCAAAAGGGGCCACACCATGCAGCTGGGACTGCCTGTCCCTCCCCTTGAGTTCCAGCCATCGTCTTTGAGGCCTCTGGGGCCAAGGAGTCCACTGTGAGGATGGGACCCTTTCCTCCAGGGGAGGGCCTTGCAAGGCAGATGAAGGAAACAGCCACTGGCTCTTACCCCTTCTTGGAGATGAATGTGTCTCCATACCTGAGAAATCAGGAATCCCCCCCCCCCCCCACAATGTGCGGCGGCTCTTCAGGGGCTACAGACATGGCCAAGGCACACACAGGGGACAATGGCACTCTTTCCCAGCTATAGTTTCTGGGTAAGGCCTGGCCTCCAGGATCACAATGTGCTAGCTGCCACACAGACAGAATTCAACAGGCGGACAGAGCAAGACTGCATGCGAGGAGCCGGCCTGCTGCGCTTGGGTCCCAGCATACCCCGGGCCAGCAGGGTCTGGGTCAAGACCTTAAAGAGTGCGGCTGAAAGGGAAAAGGAGGCAGACACCCGTAGTGCTGTGGGGGAGCCAAGGTGCAGGTAGGGTGCACACGTGCCTCTTGTGGGGTCTGAGGCTACAGGCCAGGAGAAAGTAACCCAGACTCTGAACACAGCTCAGCTTCCTACCAGCTCCTGTCCCAGGAGGTAGCTGCACCAAGTGAGCTGTCTCCCTCCCACTGTCCCCAGTTTGGCTCACATGAGCCCTGGCCACAGGCCACCCGTGTGCCTCCCCTTCCTCTATTCTGCTGGTCCTTGCCGACAGGTGTGGCTGCTTCCCACCTCGCTGTCGAGGAAGGTCTGTCTCCAGGTGAGGGGCAAAGAGGCAGGACTTCACAGAGAGACCAAGGCTCCGGGCACCATGAGGGCCCAGCGCCAGTCACCTGGAAGCCCTGGGGTGGGGGTGGGGGTGAGGGGCAGGGCAGGAAGGTGTTGGTCACCTTTGTTGCTTCCTCATCCCAGCACCAGGTGCAGCACCTGGAGGCATCAGACACACACAGGGCTGAGCAGGTTCTCCCCCAGGAAGTAACCATGGCTGCCCTGCCCTAGACGGTAAAGCCCCCGTGTGGACTCCCAAACATAAGACATTCGGACAAGCTATGGCGGTGACATCAAGAGTTTCTGTGGTGTCACTGAGCCCAAAAGAGGCTCCAGGGGATCAGCAACCCGCTTCATGGAACCGTGGGGACCTGCTCCACCTCCAGGGCAGCAGGGCTGGTTTCCAGACAGAGGCCCTTCCTGCTGGTCTGTCTGCCTGTGCTGCCGCTGCACCTGCAGCCCCTACACTCAAGCTGAGCAGGGGGCCGTGAGGATTGCAGGCTGGCTCTCCTGTGGCAGAGGGGAGCAGAGGCTGGCTCTGAGGCACAGGGATATTTATGGGGGCCCCTGGGGACCGTCTCACTAGAGGGGCGGTTCAAGGCTAAGACAAGCCGCGGGCAGGGGTTAGAATCACTCCCTGTGCCTCAGAGGTTCTGACAAGCCCCAGAGAGAGCAGCCCTGCCAGGCTCCACTGTAAACCGCCCCCGCCCCCCATACACACACCCGGGGCGACCCACCGCAGCCCTTCCCACCCTGCCCATCTCATCTAGTCTCCCACATGCAGAGTGGGTGGCCACTTCCAGGGATAGCATGCCAGTGCTGGGGTGGTGGGGATGGGTGGCGCAGGGTAACCGCTGCTCAGGGCCGACTCTGCCGGTTGGGAGACTGACACTTATGCTGGGCCTAAAATGGGAAAAGCACCTGCAGATAACGCGTGCAGGGGTGCCCGGCACCATTCACAGATCAGGCTCAACGCCTATCAAGTGCATGTCCAGTTCCACTCACCCCGGCGGTCACATGCGCACCGTTCCCAAGCGACCACGGCCAGCCGCGGCCACAGCTGTATCCGAATCCCCAGCCACCCACGGAGACGCGCCATTTTAGCCGTCCCCCCTACCCGCGGCGCGGAGAACAGACCCCTAAGGACCCCGTGGCACAAGTCACCACGCTTCTTGGGCACCCGCAAAAAGGCACACACACACCCGAAGTCGGGCTCCTGCAGGGAGCACGTGGGGTCGGGGCACGGAGGCCGCGGTGACAGCGGCAGGAGTGCAGCCCACGCCACTCACCCTGCCCGGCGCTCTTCCCCAGGCGCCCTGGCCGGCCGCTCAGCGGAAGGCCAGCAGGAAAATCAGCACGACGTTGATGAGGACGAGAAAGACCAGCACGGCGGAGACCACCACGCGCTGGGCGCCGGGGGGCAGATTGCAGCGCAGTAGCGCACGCAGGGCGCTCCCGGGCGCCGCGGGGCCGCGCCGGCGCTGCGGGGCCCTAGCCATGGCGCCGGGCCTCCGCGCTCGCTGCGTGCGGCCCCGAGATCCCGGCACGCAGGGCCGGAGCCGGCGGCCCGCAGCGCCCGCGGAGTGGGCGGAGCCGCCCGCGCTCGCCGGCCTGGACTCCTCCCGCACAGCCGGCGCCGCGTGCGCCGCGTCTCCTAGGCCGGGAGCCTTGGCAACCGCGCGGAGTGCGCGGGCGGGGACAACGCGCTCCCAAGGCTCGCAGGGGCCGCAGCGGCTCCGGCGGGCGCAAAGACCCCTTGGGAGGGGTCGAGGGAACCTTAGTGCCGGCACAGCGGGACTGGGTCTGGGTTGGCCCAGCGCCCAGATGGCCACGGGACGCTTGGGGATGCCCGGAGGGAGACCTCACACACGCAGGCAGGCCGGGGCCAAGACACCTGGCACCGGCGCTTAGGGGAGGGCTGGCCGAGGAACTCTGCTTTCAACAAGGGCTGCCCCCGGGGTCCAGCTCACGGAGGAGTAGACGCACTGCAGGTTCTGGGCTCTGTCCTCAAGACGCACAGACACACAGGGCTAGGGCGGCCGGCATTGGAACCCGGGTCAGACAGACTCACTCGGAGCGCTCCGCCCCCTCCCTGAGCTGGGTCACATTTTCTGCCTTTGGGGAAGCTGCTGACTTCTTTAACGGCTTTTGAAAAAACCTTTGTCAGGCACCCAGCGGTTCCACTGCCTCCACCAGACAGTGCCTGCAGGTTTCAAAGCTGCCACTCTGTCACTCTGTCCCCGACGGGGAGCTCAGGCAACGCGCCCCTCTGAGAGATGCGCAGAATGCAGCTGACAGAGCTCAGCACACAGCTCGGGCGTGGGCAGATATTTCTGAGTGACAAGCTCAGGGCTCTAACACCGGGTGCAGGGAGGGAGGGAGGGGCGCCCAGGGAGTGTGCACAGACTGGCTGTTCACATGTGGGTTCAGAGTTCCCTATGTTTCAGCACCAAGTGCATCTGAGTACAGGTGATGCACATGTTAATGTCACCATCCTCTGAAGAAGCCACAGAGTAGGACGAATGCCAGGCGTGTACCTGCATGTGAGCATTCACATGGAACATGTGTGTGCAGGTATGTGGAGGGTTACCCTTGCATGTGTGCATCCACATGTGTGCACCTGTATGTGTAGAGGCAGTACCTGCATGTATGTTTACACATGTGGGCTCCTGTGTGGATGCATGTAAGTACTGCATGCATACACATGTGTGTACACATGTGGGCTCCTGTGTGTGCAGGCAAGGGTGAGGTGTATGTCCAGAAAGCTGTCTGCCTCCTTCCATTGAAGGTTTCAGCCTGGGCCCATCTGTTTGGAGTGGTGCCCCTGCAGGGTTCTTCAGGAAACCGAGGGCTCCACGTTTGCTCCCCCAAGCTCTCAGAAGAGTTGTGGAGGCCCCAAAGGCATCTGAAAGTTCCCTGGTACCAGCACATCTCAGCTCCTCTGGTAAGACTGTGTGATGATGGGGCCAGCGCTGTGACACAGCAGGTTAAAGCCCTGGCCTGCAGTGCCGGCAT